CCGTTTCCATTTTGCAAATGTTTATTTTATTTTTGACGAATTTCTGATTATTTTTTTGGGGAAAAAAATAATATATTTAGGAGACGCTGAAGTTCAGGGCTGAATTGCAGGAGAGGCTTTCGAGGGAGAAAGATACATTTGGGGATGATCTTCAGACGGTTGTCAGTATTTGCGCAGAGGTAATTTTTATTTATTTATTTCTTCCTGATGCTTCTGTTAATCAGTTGTGCTTTATGTGATTTTGTTTGTGATTTTTTTTTTTTTTTTTTTTTTTTTTTTTTTTTTTTTTTTTTTTTTTTTTGTCTGGTTTATTTTTTGTTGCTTGGTGTTCTTGAGCTGAACTTAATGATGTCCTGGTTGATGAAATTTTATGTACTAAGGTTAATATTGCTTCAATTAGCTCTTGAACATATCAGTGTTATAGCTCCGTGTTTTGTTTATTGATTCGATATATATGTTTGCAACGATTCTTGTGTGAGGCAGTCTAACCGTAAGACGGGTCGACCCTTTTTGAGACTCTGAAGCATGTGACTGTTCAAGATTTATTATTTTTCACTTTTTTCAAATTGGAATGATTCAACTCTGTCCTCGATAAGCTCGATTCTTGTGTTGCAACACTTTATTTATTCTGTCGAAAAAAAGAAGAAGTCTGTATTGGTTTTCTTAGTTGAAAACTGTTGTAATGTTTAAAAGTTCTGATATGATATCAGATACTAAGTGATTTCCTGCATAAAGACTAAGGAGGACCTGGGACTGTACAAATCGAGCCTTTTACAGATATGATGGTGGCACTAAAGGAGAAAAATCTTCCCGGTGCACCATTAGCCGCTCGATTTTCGTTACTTTGGGCACAAAATCATGTCGACAAGGATTGGGTAACTTGGAACTCCAAATCACCACACATATGATGCCAATTTATTGATAATTTTGTTTCACTGCCCTTGAGGTTTGATTGAATTATAATAATCAGCAGGCTATCGTTCATGATTATATAGGACCCGCTCAAAATCCCCGTTTCGGGCCTAATTTCTCTCTCCTCTCAGTGGCAGTGAGTTTCCATTCCGAACCCTAACCCTAGTCCATCCACTCATCACCCCCTTCCCCCCGCCGCCGCCCCGCCAGGCCGGAAGCCGCGCCTCCTCGCACCTCACGTTCGCCGTACGTCCTCGGCTCCTCGCCGGTCTTCGTCGCCCTCCCTGATCCGTTCTCGCTGCCGTGCTCCGGACTCACAGGTCAGTCCACGCCGCTCTACTTCTCTACTTCCCCGCCTTCGAGTTCGAGTCAAGGTTGTCTTGATCTATTCTGCAGATTGATTTTTGTTTAATACATTGTTTGATGCTTGACCTGTGGCCTTTGTTGTGCTCGTCGTAGAATCTCTGGTGATTGTGGGAGCTACGCTGGCCAGGCTGGTGTATGTGTATGAGATTTGTGAGACGTTTTTCTCCTATCTCGGGGAAAATCAACACGCGAAGTTGTCATCGACTCCGGTGATCCCCATCGATGATCCCAAGGTGTCCCTCATACATACATGCCTGAATCGGTTCAAGGGGGCCCTTAATGGCAAAGGGAGGCATCGCACCTGCTTTCCTTTGAGATTATGATGATGTCATCGAACACTTCAGAAGCGACACCACTTACCATCGATTTACAGAAATCCTCGGGAGTTGGTCTTGTGGGGACTACTTGAAGGAGGAAGCTATTGGGTTGTTACTCTCAGTCTTCTCAGCATGGTACAACTTCTGCTCCCCCTTTAGTTTCTGTGTGGTCTTGTTTCATGAGTTGTGTTAATAGTGAAAGGTCTCGGTATAGTTTCTGAAATAGGAATTGTGACACAAGTCCACAGGTCATTTCAAACTTAGTGTTAGTACCAGGGTCTACTTTTATATTTGATATCATGGAAGCATGCTTAAAAGATGACATTTAGATCTGTAATTTGAGGGAGCGGTGTTAAGACATAGTGAAAGGTCTGGGTATAGTTTATGAAGTAGGATTTGTGACACATCTACAGGTCATTTCAAACTTAGTGTTAGTACCAGGGTCTACTTTTATTTGATATGATGGAAGCATGCTTAAAATATGATATTTAGATCATTGCAATTTGAGGGAGCAGTATTAAGACATGCTTAAAAGTTTCTTTGTGCGTATACTTCTTCAATATGCAGAAATATCGATTACCAGAATCTAGAATATATGCCACATACTTCGGTGGTGGTACATCTTCTGGTTTGAGTCCAGACAATGAATCAAAAACTGCATTGCAGAAATGCATTGGGGAACTTTTTGAATTTATGCGGATATTAATGGACTGTGTGTTTGAATAATAGGAAGATTTTTGGATGAGCGATGAAACTGGTCCCTGTGGGCCATGTGTTGGAATTTTCATTGATGGTTCTAATGGTCAAGGTGGTGTTAATGGCAAACACATTGAGATATCCCGACTTGTATTTGTTGAGGTTGTTTTAAGGACTTTTGCATGCATATATATATATGAAGCTTCTTATATTAAATTATTTATTAACTTCTTTTTTTTCCTTCCTTTTTTAGTTCAATAGGCAAGCAGATGGCATATTGAGTCCTTTGCAAGCCAAACATATCTTAACAGGAATTAATCTTCAATGTTTGGCTGCCATCCTTCAAAAGAAAGGAAGCCACTATGAAGTAGATGACTATGCTGACATAATTGAGGGCATCTATGAAGTAAGTTTTCATGTGCACTTCAAGTTATCTTTTGTTGCAAATGATAACTGGCTGTGTAATATTATTGATTTCCATGGTCAATGACATGTACTGATGACTTATAAGCATATATGCAGAGAACTGGTGAAGGAATCGAGAACCATTCTGGTAAAGTTGGTGATGCTGATACTGATGGGGTTGATACAGCTTATCGCCTGCTTGCAGATCACATGAGAATGATTGCTGTTACTAATGCTCCTAGTTCTCGGCTTGGTAAGTGTGTTATGTTTCGGTTGGTCACTAATGTTAATAATTACAACATCAGCGTATGGCTTGTATACTAATTTGTCATGAACAAACGAATAATACAACTATTGGTCATTTTGAAGGGCAATTCATCTGCGCCTCCTCCTGTTGACAGTAGTAGTGCAGACCCTGCTGTGACATGCCTTGATGCGGGCATTTCACCACCTGAAGGAAAGAAGAAAGGCCGGTATAATCATACAAACATGATTATGGATGACTTGTTACATCAATACTTTCTTTTTTTCTTGTCATTACATTGTTTCTATTGTGTTAAAATTGGTACATGTCTTTATGAATACCAGGGCTTGGACATGAAGGTCGTGTGTTTTTCCTAACGTGTGCCGACAAACTGGCTGTGCAATATGGCCTCGAAGTACTTAAGATATATGAGAAAGATGACTATGATGTGTAAGAACAATCACTTTTATTGGAATCTGTGCTTTATTTTACATGCATTTACACAAAAACAGTTTCCTTGTTTACAAAACTAGTATTTTGAACAATGTGTTCTTACACATTATAAACTTATAATTTTACTTAAAATGTCTGTCATAATTCTATTAGAACAACTCCAGCAGTAGCCCCAAAACATGGCTGCTCCCCCCCACTTTTGCGGGGCCTGTTTTCTTGGCTGATCTCTAGAAGGAGCCCTCAAAACAAAGCCCCTATTCTTAATTCCTCTATTTTCTCACACATAGGCCCTGTTTCCTGGGCTGAAATCTGCAAGAAATTTCTTTACCAAGTTATAGTCCATTTGTTCTCCTTTCTTCAGCTTCTCCTTTGCTTGCTTCCTACCCATAGGCCTTTTACTGCTAGGCATGGAATGCCCATGGGTTTGGCTCTTTCTACTCTCACCATCTTCTACATCAAACACAGCCACTGTTGCTGCTTGTGAATTGCTTTCCCTTGGCCTTTTGTTGTTGAGAGGGGACACAAACTTCTCGATATGCCTAATCTTCAGCCACAATTAAGGAAAGGAAACCCCTTCTTTCCATCTGCATATGCATTTTAAGCTTCTAGCAACTGAAACAAAAAATACAGCAGCTGCTTTTAGCAACATTTTTGAGCTTCTAGTAACTGAAATCGAAGATACAACACCTAATAATATCAAAGATGCAGCAGCTTGTAGCAACAATGATGCAGCACCTAATAAAATTCTTACATGTTCCTGGTATGGCACTCCACTAGGATGAAGATGCTCAACCTCGTCATACAAGCCTTGAAACTTCTGGCACTCTTTGTGAATTGTTGCCCCCCTATGCTCAAGAGAACTTGGATTCCTGTCAGATTTAAATTTTCTGTTGGCATGAAAGTTCTTAGAATTCACTTCCAATAGGCCTTGCCAGGTTGCCCATTTCAGGTGATAGGATCCAAACTTATGTTCTCCCATGGTTCACGTAATTGGATGTCTTCATCCAGAGAGTAGTTG